TTCAGAAATTAGAAACAGTGATGCAATACACTGTATGCCTTTGAGGGCGTTTCAAACTGGAAGGCAAGTCAAGAATTTATGGTCCTTTGCAGCTGTGGTTTGGGTTTTCTTGAGAAAGTTTACCAGCATAGCTCCTTGGAAAATACGCAGAGGATGCAAAAACTGCATCAAAGTGCAGTGGCAACAAGAGCAGTGCAGTGCAACAACAACGACAAACACAAAAATGCAATTACCGAAATGATAACAAGGCCTACGAGCGCATAAGGCTTCGAAGGACATTGGACAATGGACGGAGTCCTTCATCTTGGACTTTGCTTTTCCAGCTCAAGATGTTGCTAAGGCTGTATTCGTGTGCAAGTGTGTATGCGCCTACGCACGTGTAGGTGTGTGTGTGGGTGAAGTGAAGCATAAAATATATATTAATATACAAGTGCCCAAAAAATACAGTATGCGATTTGTAAATACCTTGAAAATACAAGACTTGGATGGATTCTATATTTAAGGTTATTTCTGGATTGTTTTTTTGTACTAGAATTACTTGGTTTTTTGAATAAATTTAAAAAAAAACATTAGCATCCAAAAACTAAGAGACGAAATTCGTAAGACCAACAAATAGGTAATCTAAAAAATACTCCACGCACCCCAACCGAAAATCTATAAATCGCTTTCCATAACACAATTTGTTGAACCTCTTTTTCTAATGACAAACATCTCGAGATAGTTTTCATACCTTTGCGCAAGCAAATCTTAAAACATATTTCTATGCCTCTATAAATATTCACATATATTCTGCAGCAAGATATGCTTCTTCTGCTGTGCGAGTGTGTTGGTTGTGTGTGTATTTTTGAGCAAGTCAAAGATTTTCTATTAAATTTTAAATAATTCAATTTTACATTTTACCAAAAACATTGCAAATGAGTAAAGTAAACCCAGCACAAACACACACGAGCGCACAAGTGCAAAGTGCAGCTGCATCTCTAGACATTTGCGTGTATATAAGTGAGGTGGCTGCATCTTGTCCAAAAATGTTTCATTATGTTTGTCTTGCAGCTCGCACTGTCCACTCGAAGAAAATCTTAAGCCTACCAGCAGTTGCCCCCTCCCTTTTCCTTTCCCTTCCCCTCCACTCCACTCCACTCCACCCTCTTTTGCATTGTCTTTGCATTTTGTGAAAATATACTGCATATGCTTAGACATTGCATTTCGCACTCAAGTGTGTTTGCGTGCGTGTGTTTTTTGGGTGTTTGGGCGGTTGGGCGTTGGGTGGTGCGATTTCCTTTGGTTTTTGCATCGCACCACTGGACCAGCCACAAGGCACATATAAGTTTCTTCTTCTGGGCGTCCTGTACATAATTAGGATGTGCCATGTGCCCGGTACAGTTCTCTATGTACCACAAAGTGCGTTGCACTACATAAGCCTTCAAGTGCGTAAGTGCGTGTTGCTGCATTAAAATGAATTGCTTGCAAAACCGATTACATGGCTTTTTTGTTTGCTGTGCCCAAAAAAAATTCCCTTTTAATTATAAGCAAAAATAATAGTTTTAGAAATAATATTGTGCTTTAAAATGGTAATTACTCAAAGTGCTGATTAATAACATAGAAAAATTATCTATATTTTCATATTTGGATGTTATTAAACAACATTGAGTACATTTAAAGAAAGTCAAGTCAGTGCAGATGACGCTTATCATTCTTTGACAGTTACTTAAACAATATTTCAATTAAGTGTCAGATCTTATTACTTAAAACATGCTGAATTGAAAATGAAAAAAGTGTGAATTATTTAGTATAGATTTTTTTTAAACTTTTTTTTTTTTTTTAAATTAATTCGATATTTATTATTGTCGCCGGAATCGTTCAGGACCATCTGAGCATAACCGGGCGTTTAGAAGATGGGGTAGGTATGGTACATATGGGATATGGACCTGGGCTATGGTATATACAATTATTTACAACTATTTACAATGTTAATTTACAATACGCGAAGACAGATCGCTGGGGGGGAATCTTTTTAGGCGTCTGAGGGTTTGCGGGTCGGCCAGCCTGCCTGCCAGTGGATTTGGGTGGCTCGTTAGCCTATCCGAGTAACGCCGGCTGTGTTGGTTTAGGAGGTCGCCCACAGGAACAAGGCGTAGGTCGTTTTGGATGGCCTGGTTTGTCACATACCAGGGAAGTCTCGATGCCCGTCGAGCAGTTTTTTTAAACAAGTATAATTTTTTCTTCTAGTAAACAAAGATGGCTGAGCAAAGCTGCTGAGCAAGAATGTAATATAAATTATGTATTAAAAGAAAGGGAGTATGCTTAATTTTCTGAGGAATACTTTTCCTTGTGTGTGCTTGCAATCACACAACTGAATCTAAGGAACTGCTCTAAATTTTGGCATTCAAGTGCAAGTCGCAGGAAATTCCCCCCGCAGTTTTCTCCAAACCATCCACCATCCATCCACTCACCACCCGCACTGAGCACTCTTCTTAAACCTCGTTAAATTCAGCACACACTGTCCAGAATGTGACGGCAAATGCATAAATTAAAATTGCACATAAATTTTGCCATAAGAAACGACACCCAAGAAGACCCAACGACAACGGCAACGACAACGACGACGATGACCCCCATGGACAACCCCCTAAACTCCTAAGTAACTTTCTCCCCCGCTCTTCCCTTCGTTTGGGCGAGATGCGTACTCGTAATTTGTGCTTATTGTGCAAGTCCGATGGCCAAGTCAGCAGGGGGCGGTGGGTGGTGCTGATGGGGTTGATGGGTGCTCGGTGCTGGTCATCGGGGGAGTGGAAACACGAGACTCGAGACTGTGCCAAGATGCAACCGAAGTCACAAAAGAACCGGACAGCGGCGAACCCCGCACCGCCAACACACATGGACATGCACAGGAAAAATTAAAGATTATTTACACGGATATATTCCATGAAGCAAAACCTATGAAACTGAGTCTATGCTAAATCCAAAAAGTTTTAACTAAAAAAGTATTTGAAACTTAAAATAAGCACTTGTACCCCAGTTGTAACTACGCCATTTGAAATTCCTGGTATCTTTACATTTTGTACTCCATTTGCTGTGTTATTTTTGTTATATGCAATTGGACAATTAAAAACGGAATCCTTCTAAATAAAAAAAAGAATACCATTATTTAAAAATGTTATATATTTTCCAATTAATACCGATCAGAGAGGTCAGTTTTTACTCTACAGAACCCACATTTTCTCTCCGTGCAGCCAAACTAAGTGGCGGAGTATCTGTGTGTGCGTGCTAATATTGAGGTAGGCCGCTGTATTGAATGGTTGGTTGGGTGGGGAGTTGCGGGGGAAGGGGGGGAATGGGAAGTCAGGGGTCGCAACTTGCACTCATCATCAGCTCAAACTCAATCAGCAGCAGCAACAACAACAACAACATTAACAACAACATCAACAACAACAATAACAACAACAACAAACAGCGAGAAGGGCATCGGCAACATCGCGACAGAGTGCATCAGTGTGCGTGCGCGGGTATCTGTGTGTCGCTTTTGACATTTACTTTATGTATTCTTCGCATGTAATGAGGTAAGTGAGGAATGCGGGGGTAGGGAAACGGGAAGGGGAAGGGGTTAACCTATGTACGCGAATCGGTGTACGCACACTGGCACATACATATGTGAAATGCCGTTAATTATATACTTTACACGACAAACGCACACACACGAATACGGGAACCCCACTCACACACACTCAAACACACACACAGATTCGATGGGAGACAGGCGGCGATTTTAATGTACAACAAAGTGCATTGTTATTGTTGTTGTTGCCGCAGAAGGGAATTGTGTGCGGGTATATAGGTGGCACCCTCTCCCTATGTACAACAACCACTATTTATCTCTATATCATAGTTATGTACAACCTTAAATCGCTTTGTTCAACATGCTAACGAAAAAAAAGGAATAATTTTCACTGTTTTTTTCACGCACAAAAATGTGAAAAGTCGATGGAAAAAAATGAAAATCTGTGGCATGTTGCAAAAGGTTGCCATAGGCATTGAATGAGTCGCCCGGAGGTAACATCCCTTATCATTAAGCGGGGTGAGGGTCAAAGGGTGGACCCTGTTTTTTTTTGGTGGGGGTATTTACCATGCACTTTTTTGCAGCAGTAGCATTGACCACAAAGGAGCTTGTTGTTGCCTTTGGTAATATTCAGTTGAGAGGGCTTCCGCATTTGCGTGTGTATGTACACCCATCCATATGATTGTTTATTTATCGACGAATTTGTTTGATTTGCGAGGGCATACAAGTGCTGCAAAAAAAACACTTGGCTCAAAACAAACATTTATTTGGAACATATTGCAATAGGAAGTCGTGTGTTAGACGGCTATTCGCTAACTTGATATTTTACGAATCAAATAGGTAAAAAAAGTGGATATTACATCGAATAACATCTTTACTAGAAATTTCGTTTAGCTGCCATGGATCTTATATTTAAAAAACCGTTGCATTTTCAATTTTAAATTCAAATTTGAATTTTAGTTTCAATCCCACATATTCCTCTATAACTTTCAGCACTGATATTAGTGTTGGTAAGCATTGTCACGATACTCTAGTGCCCAATTTAGTTACTAATAAAAATACGCCACCTGGTGTCTTTAACTTGCAATCCACATTTGAATGCGGACATAAAAAGTATGTAGATTATAAGTAGCGTGTAGGTATGTGTAAAGTAAAGAAAAGAATGTAGAGTCCAGCGCCTCTGGCGGCCTTGCTCTACGATTTATTTTTGCACATCTGGCAACGAATCTGGCGGTGCGGCTCGCATTGTGGCAACGCTCAATATATTGCTATTTTAAAAAAACAAAACCGTTACATCAAATTATTCTGAGATTTTTATAAACTTTGTAAGGGGGTTAATCAAACATAATCATTTCCTTATAATCAAACATAATCATGTTCCCAACACCACTGATAATCAGGACCAAGATATTGTTTCCCTTTTTTATGAATGTTGAAAAAATTTAAACACGTTTTTAAACGTTACAAATTTTATTTGGTAAAATAATAATATTTACAAAGTTTTTAAAGTCACAATTATTATTTGAAATAAATATAAAAGGGAGACATTTTGGTAGTAAATAGTGATGCTCCAAAATATTTCGTTTGCTGCAGTCGAAAATTGTCCCTAGAATTAAAAAACCATCAATAAAATATTCATCTGTTTGTAGATTTGAGCAACTCACCTCAAATACTCCCAAGTTTTTAGGCAACCATGAAAAGGGTTAGATAAAAATACACATTTTAGTCGGGAAAGCTATATTTTATAAAGATCTGATCATACCATGCATAAACAAATGTATACAAAGAAGTGCATAAGTAGGAGTAAATGTGGCTATCTATTTTTGGTTCATTTTTAGAAACATAAGTTTTGTTGATTGGACTTTTGAAATCAATAGAAGAAAGATGTAAGGAAATCATGCCGAAATATTGGGATAAATAGAGAAAATTTGTATAAAGTTAAACTTTCCACAATGGAAAAATAAAAATAACTGGTCATACATACACGCAGCATTCCTTCAGCTGTTCTTTATTTTAACTCAGTTGCTTGGCTATCTGGATTTCTAAATTGTTTATATTTTGCTTTCTGTTATGTATTGTAAAGAAGGAACTGGATTTTAATTTAGTTTTCAGCTGGTTGTTGACAAACTGCGCTAGGGATCAGAATTTTCCTTTAGTAAAATTTACCAAAATTGTGCTTCTGGAAAACCAGTTGTGAAATTTTACCACTTTGAATATAATTGTTAAGCGACTATTTTTCATTATTTTTGTTTAGTAAATTACGTTTCTTTGTCCATTTGTTACAACGTAAATACTACGTAATATAAGCATTGGTTTTTACAGTGTAATAGTGTTGTTTGCAATGACTTTGTGACATTATGAATTTAGTTTTTATGAACATTGATACAATATATATACATTTTTATAAGTTATGTGTGAAAATGTATGATAGAGTACCTTAAGCCTAACTCTCAGTGGTTTCTAGAGCTTAACACAATTTACCTTTCCTTGTTTTGGTCGCAGCTTCATTTTCGTCTTCAAGGGTCCTAAAGAATCCTCATCCAAGACTTCCGTCCAAGTGTGAAATTTGTGGGGAGAATGAAACCTAGTTTGTTTTTTTTTGGTATTTCTGTCAAATCTTTTCTTTTTGAATTTTATTATTGAATAATAATTAAAATTTTACAATCGCATTACTCGGGTTTTTCTTCTTTCTTCCTTCTTCTTGTTTCCTTTCAACTTTTATTTTATTTTTCTATAATTTACTATTTAGGTCAAAATGACCAATTTAAATTTTCTTCTAATTTTTTATGTCATATATTTTCTGGTTTTGTTTTAGTTAATTCTGTATGTTTCTTTATACGCAATTATTTAAATTTAAATACTAATAACGACATAAAAAATCAGCGCTTTTCTTTTATTTTCTGTGTTCTTTGTTTCTTTTTCACTTTTTAAAATTAATTTAATTTAAATATTTACTAGGTTACGATTTCATCCCGCTTGATTTGGGTTTCAATAAACCCTTTTTAAATGACTAATTAAATATTAATTTAAAGTTTTCTGTGTTTTTTTTTTTATTTTAATAGAGAAAGGAGTTTGGTTTTTGTTTTTTTGTATTTTTTTTAAGAAATATATACTTTTTATGTATATTTTTTAAAATTCATTTAAATGCAACTAGTTGTAGGAAAAAGTTTCATCATTTGCTTCAAATATTTTGTTTTATAATTTATTACATAGTATACTATATATTTATATATATACTTGTTTGTCTGTGTAAAAAGAAGTATATACGTATGCACATATATCCATGTAAATATACACATATATGTATACAGTGTGGTTGATGAAATAACTATTTTCCAAACTGTCCTTGTATGCACTAGAACTTTATTAGTTTTAATCTCAATCTCCATCGTCCTGCTCAATTGCATGGCTTCGACTAATGTTGCCGATTAATTTTACTCAGCCCAGAGAGCCGTACTATTTCCTATGTATTTATTACTGGGGTGACACTTTCTTTTAAAATTGCTTATATGAAAACTTTTGTTCAACTTCAGCTAATTGGATGTTGAACATAATCCAGTTATTGATTGCTATTTGAAAACGGCCATCAGATATTTCAGTTGGGCTTCTTTGTTTGCTTTCTTTTGTGTTCAAATAAGCACAATTGATGGAAATGTATAAAAGATTTAAAATTAGTTATTGTTTTTATTTTTCATGCTGGCAGCTTGTTTGCTATGTTCTCTATTATTATTTCATTAATATTCTTAAGCGTTAGGATTGAAATCTATCGTTAATTGTTTTCACTGACATTCGCATTGGAAAAGCATACAAAATAAAATATATGTTTATCAAAAACATTAAGAAAAGTACCCACAAATGTATACTCTCTCCGGTCCATTGGCTCTCAATCATTTCTTGTGGGTGAGTACAACAAAATTTAAAAAGAATTTCACCTTTCATCAAAATATAACGAGCTCTCATATTATTTTACACTTGGAATCGTTTATCAAAAGCTAAACCTTATATATAAATGTTTCGAGACATTCAAAAAATAAAACAACCAAAAAAGATTAAGTCAGAAGCTTGTATAGTTTAGCATACAAAATCTGTATATAAATTGAGGTTTGAAATTGTCATTTAACCAAAACAAAAACCAATTATTCATTATTCATATTTTCTCAACTATTTCTTCGCTTGGTTCGTTATGTGAAATATATATTTATTGGTTGTATGTAAATCTATTTCTAGTATGATTTTTGAGTTCGCATTTTTAGCTCATTGGATAGAGTCTTAACAATTTATGGGATTCTGTGTAGCCTAGTCTAAGTTGAATGACATCGTTTAGTTGCTAATCATATTTCCATTATCTATGTTTGAATTTTTTTTTTTTTGCATTTTTACTGTGACCTATATGTTTTGTTCGCTTTGGTTTTGGTGTGTTCAATTTGTTTATATTCAAAGAAAATTCTGATTGTTTACATTGCACAAGATTTACAATTAGAAGCAGAATAACTGTAACTTAAAAATTAATAAGCTAATTCCATTTCGAACGTTTCTTTGCTTTTGTGTGGAAAGAAAAGTCAGTGTGAAATTTCGACCAACGCAGCTTTGCTTTTTTTTTTTGTATCTATTCCTGATCGTGGGATCGTGAATCGAGGAAATGTGAAGCAGAGTAAGGATATTAAAAGATTCTTTAGATTGCAGCTTCCTCAGCTTCTCCTTCGCATTTCCCCGTTCAATTCCCAGACCGCGTTAATTTTTAAGATTTTTGTTTCTTGTATTCCTTGGTTTTGTTGTTGAAATTGTGTGCTTGACTAGTAAGCGGACAGAAACATACTTTGAGACTATAATATTGCGATTAACTGGCCATCGAACAACCGAGTGTGTGTTTGTGTGTGAGTGAGTATTGTGTGTGGATTTGTATATGGTACAAATATATGAAAAGTTGGGCCAGATTGACTCACGCTAAACTCCATCATATATATCTGTATAAAGCTCCTTGGTTTATATGTTTTGGTTGTTGTGGTCTGTGATCAAGTATGTTCAGTGGGCTCTACACTAGAGCAAGCACATAATTACCGATGCACCGGCATGTTACGTGTTCTAGGGTCTTGTGATGTTCATTGTTATTGGTATATCTCAAGTACTGTGTTTGTTTGTTTGCCTGCTTCCAATCGATTGTATTGGCTTGTGTTCTGTGCTGAATTGCTTTCTGGTGTCCTCACTTTTAGTATTTAAATAATAGTAAACAACCAAAGGGTAAGTGAAATCAATACTGAATGTTAAACTGTTTAGAGGTTCGCTGTTCTCAATGCGCTGAAGGAGCGAACTCTTGCCCTTCGTCGGTGATTTCGAGCAATAGTTCGATCGATCATCGTTTGCATCACCAAAAATCATGCAATTCATCAACACGCAGATATTATTGCTCGCAACCATTTAATTTCATAAATTCATTTCCTCGTGCGGCGCCAGTCAACATGAAATGCAGTCCTTCGGATACATTTCATTTACTGATCGCATTCTGGGCTCATCATTACCTGTTGTGCCTCTTCTCGTCATCGATTTTCTTCATTTTGATTCTTCTATTCTTTTCTTTTCATTTCTCTGTTATATTCCATTGAATTTTCGTAATTCCAATTAAGATTGGTTATTCTATTGGTTTTGGTAAGCTTTAAGGGGTTTGGTTTTTAGTTGTCGGGGCTTGGTTTTGGATTTATCATTTGGTTTTAGACTTGAACTTAAAACAAAGTCAGGGAGAGGGATTACTAGATACACAGTGTAGGATATGTAGGGTTAATTGGTTCTGTTTCGGAAATGCAGATTCGTCTAGAGAGGGGAATGTGGCGGATTTTCTTAACTGGCCTAGGTACTAATGGTTAGCAAAAAGTTGCTCGGAACAAATCTCTGGACTGACTTCAATGCTGAAGAAGATTACAAATTTAGTTGCCCTTTTGTGGATACAAAAACGTTGGGTTTCCATATCTTATACACACTGCAAATTTTTCATCTACGTTTCTTACTATAAAGCTCACAAATTGAAGTCTTCCAAAAAGGTTGTTTTTTGGGGGCTTTGTTTTTGCTTTGAAATACTGCAATTTCCCTTGAAGTCTGTCAAAAAAATAAGTTTCGAAAACCCGTGTGACTATTTTTTATGAAAACTCCTCGCTTATTCTATAAAATATAAAATCTAAAAAGAAAATATACCCGTTTTGCTTGCTTGTCAAACATATATGTATATATATATATTCAATGGAAGAAATATAGATACTGGCTTGTGGGGATTTGCGGGGAAGTAGGGGGATTTCTTCGATTTACCATTATTTAGATTTTTTTTTTGTATAGAATTAGGAAAATTGGAATTAGTTAGTTTTTAAAGTTTTAGTATATGATGTTGGTTTAGTCTCTTTTTTTTTAGTGTCTGTTTGATTTAAATAAAAGACATTTTAAACGAGTTTTTATAAATAAATTATTGTGTTTTCAGAGACGAATTTATAAGTTTTTTTTTTTAGTTTTTTTTTTTGATGTATTATTTAGTCAATGGTTTTTTATCATGTGTTTTCCTATTTTTTTGTGCTTTTTAAATTGTTTTTTAGTTTTAATTTACTTAAAAAGTTTCGTTATTAATTTAATAATTAACAAATTGATTTTATAATAAAACCAATAACAATAACCACCTCGCCCATATGGCTACGAGACAATAATATGTGGTGCTGATAGTAGTACAGCTATTGTGGCTAATATTGTGAACATTGTGAATATGATAAGGCACAGTCTGTCAACGACCATAGCTGCAAATTTCCAATCATTGGCAATGTCATTGCACTCGTCATCTTTACGTAGCTATTTGATATTTTTTTTTATATTTATTCAAAGAGAGAGAGAGTGGGTTAAGTTGGAGAGAAAAGATGAAGCGAATAATTAAACTTTGTAGGTAACTAGTTATCGAGTGCTAATTCTAGGCTCAACATGCATAGCTTATATGAATAGAATGCAAATAAATAATTAAGGTATTAGTTAGTAGATATCATCTAGTGATCTTTATAGAAATCCTAGAGTTTCTATGACCCACTTACCTGATCAGTTATAAAGCGAATTTCCTTCAAGATTAAACCTAATTCATATTCTGTTGATGATTTGATGCACGTGTGATGGGTGACCGCATCCGGCATTCGGGTGCTGCCAATTGGCCCAATGCTGCCATCGTCGCCTTGTCTGTTGTGTCATTTGGACCCGGCCGAAAATGAGAGAGAGAAATGTGTGACGTGAGTGGCTGGATTCAGTTAACCCGAATGCGGCCCGGGGGCCAATTTCGACTCGTTACCCATAAACCGTGCGATAGAAGGCCGGGTTGTGTGGCAGTGTTCCGCCGGGCGTCATGGGGCGACAATTGTGCCGGAAGTCATCGTCGATGTCTAGTACGTTGGCCAGAAGTGATTTCGACGAGCTTCATTTTGGGGGAAAGGAATCAGCTTTAGTGCCCTCAGAAGAAGTATCTGATACAATATGAATAATTGGCACTCTGCCTGCTCTCGCCTTACACTCAGAGAAAGCAAGAGCACGAAACTACGACAACACTCAGAAAATATAATATTACATATATATAAACTAATGAGATCCGAAAGTCTATTCTGCATTTAAATAGAGTTTGTTGTTTAACTAACAATCTTTTTGAAATTTATATTTTAATTAATTTCTCACAATATCTTTTAACTCGTATTCGTATTATTAGAAATAACTCAAATTAAAAAAATACTTTGGTTTTTTCAAATGTTTAGTCACCATAAATTGAAGACTGACTAAATTTGCTTAAAGTATTTTATATAAGAAATATATTTAAAATAAAGCTACAGCATAATGCATATAATACTGAAAGGCAGGATATTTTTGTATTGCTATTCTTATACATTAACATATAAAAATCAAAAAATCTAAAGCTTGTTAAATAATTACTATATTTTTGAGTAACTAATTAAACCAATCATTAACATCTAACACCGAAAACAAGTTTTGTAGACACATAAACCAAATGCTAAATACCGCTCTTTCAGCTCAACATCGGAGAGAATCTGATGCTTCCGCTCGGAGGAGGTGTCCGAACAGGGCGTGGTCGGGAACTCCAGGATCAGCGGTCGGCCAGGACGACTCATTCGCAGGATCCACGGCAGCCAGCACAGAAATACGATGCGAATCTAACGGCAGGTGGCGAAATGGAAACGTTTAGTGGGACGGGCCCCAGGATAATCCGATAAAAAATCAAACTTGATGTATTTATGCTCCAATTGCGTGTGCTAAAAGTTCGTGTTGAGGATGATGACTGGTTCTGGTTGGTGTGTCTCTGTGCCTGGGTGCAAAATGTGTTTCGGGCCCCGAAAAATGTGTGGAAAACCCGAGCGGGCCTTCCACGATTTATGGCTATTTTGCATGAAACGGACACTCACACCCAGACAGATGACCACAAGTATGATTTATATTCGATTTTGATTACAACTAAAGCAACACTGTTTTGGAGTCGGCTTTCCGGAGAGAGAGAAAGCAACATGTGGGTGTTTGTCAGTATGCCTGGTGATTTGTTATTACACTTATAATAATATTTATGTGGGTATCTCGGTGTTCTTCGTGTGCGAGAAATGGAGTGTGTTCGCTTTTCGCCATGGTCTCTGCTTATTTATAGCTACGGTGCATGCAAAATTTATGATCTACTACAAAAACACAGTTATATATTTAACACGTATAGAACACGAGGCACAAACACTCAGACACAACACCAGCTATAACGACACCAACAACAACAAACATCTTGGATGGTAGTTAGCCCAAAGCTGCTAAGCTGTAAACAATTCTCCCCCCGAATACATTCACACTGATTCCCTGATTTATGCTCGTCTTAAAGTTGGTCTTTCAGCCAGTTTTTTAAAGGTTGGAAATTGCACATTTTATTTTGCATTTAAAAACCTTAATATCCCATCAATCTACACGCTGCAGGGATTTGAAACCCCTAAAGTTTTGTTTACTTAAATCAGTTTAAAATGTGTTCCATTTGTACAAAATATTACTAGTATATTTTCTGGTGATTTCCTATTTTTTTTATATAAGAACCTAGGCTGATTAAATATTTCAGTTGATCCTTATAGATTGCCACCTGGTTAACTATAAACAAGTTGTCCGGAGAGTGGGTAAACCGGTTAACTGGGCTAGTGTTCGAACAGAATTCAAATACCACCGCAAAAAAGTGCGATTTTTTCTCGCAGAAGCCCCAATCGATGGGATAGTCAGGACATGTTTCGCTTCCCCGCTGCAGTTTATCCCCAGGCATCGGTGTTCAAACCCCCCCTAAGCCCCCCTTCCCCTCCACCACTGCAATTTAGGAGCTGAAAAAGCGAGGCTCTTAGCTGACAAGCTCGCTTGCAGTTTGTCTGAAACCGTCGTTGTCCCTGGCTCTCTGTCTGTCTGTCCATCGTCCTTCGTCCTTTTTGGCCGGGCTTGCCGCCTGCTCCATCATGTCGGCTCCGCCTTGTTGGCGGTTTTTCTCCTTCTTTTCCTTCTGCCTTTTTTTTTTTGGCCAACAAGCGAGAAGCTTACATGGAAATGCGCTCGAGGACGTGGCATGCAAACCAAATGCAAAGTTAACCATTGCCATCGAGCAACTGGCGTTTGCCATATCCATATCAATGCACCTCCTCCATCTTTGTGCAAATTTTGCGCAAATTGATTTGTTGTTATCGCACAAAGGCGCGGGGTCCAGGCGGGCTCCTCGTGGCAGAAAGTCTCTGGGGCCAATTCAAGTGGCAGGCGACAGTTGGCAGCAAGGAGAAGGGATTTCTGCTTGGGCATGCACATTTCTAATGCACCTGCCCTCCCCAATTGGCTCAATTTTCGGTGCCGTGTCAGGACAACTCACAACTGGGCCAACTGTCAGGCCCCCCGAACTCGCCTCCTGTTTTCTTTGTGTGTAGACGACTCCCGGCTTTGGTTTTTCCCTACCCAAGTGCTCCAAATTCAATTGTGTGTCGAGAGGGGCGGACCCATCCACCACATTCTTGCGAGAAAACCATACGAAACTTCGCATGTGAGTGACTCTTTGAAAGCCAATCGACTTCGACTTCGACTTCGAGGGAGCTGCCCCCATTCCAGACTTCTCCCCACTTTTCTGGCTCTCGTCTAGCGAAACTTTTCATTATGCACTTGGAGGCCATCGCAATAATGTGCAGGAATTGCTTTCCACTTGACTGTCTTGCAAAAATATTGTCATGAAATCTTTGATATCTAAACGGAAAATAAAGTTGTTTGCCAATATTTCATGGCAACGAGATTTGAGTATGTGGTAGTAACATTTACTAGAGTAACTAAGTACTTTGTTATAGAATATTTAAAGCTACGGGTGTTTAAGATGCTACTTGTGCTTAAAATATACCAACTGGAATCTTTTATGATTATTTTTAAAGAGGTGCAAAAATGTATTAGAATGTAAGGCGATACTTTATGTTCCCCAATAAAAATTGATGAACCTAAATAGCACTTTAACAATAGCAACTTTTAATGTTTTTTTTTCTCTTTAAACAACTGGACCCCTATAATTTGTATCCAATTATAATTACGCCTCCCGTCAAAGGCTTTATAAACTATTTCACACTCAGACACACACAGCAGCACACACATAGAGACTATGTACAGAGAGATATGGATAAATATGTACTTGGGGGGAAAAAAGATATTGGGGGAGGCAAACAGAGAGGCTGGAGTACCATTTACAGAACTTTGTGCACCAGCACAACGTATTACATAATGCATAATTGGACAGCAGTTTTGACGTCGCCATCTGCTTTGGTTATATTTATATTCTTTCTTTTTTTCTTTTTTGTTTGTTAAACCTATTCACTTTGGTACGAGTATAATGATGCAGATACAAAAGCGTGTGTGCAACTGGTGACAAAGTTACGAGCAAAAGGGATACGGATTCGGATTGAATATGGGAATGGGTTGCTGGGATGCTGGTTAGTTGGGAGTCTTGCGGGGATCGAGGTTGTGGCTGGCATACACGTAAGTACAAATTATGGGCCCAACATCAACATTACGATATTTTTCATTACATAAATTATTTTATAGTAGACACGTATAGTAGCTAGACATGTTGGATGGTTACAACATTCATTTCGTACTCTGTACATCCGTCCGTCACATTATTCGGCTCGGTATTTGGTATTTGGTATTTGCTATTTGGTATTTAGTATTCGGTATTTGGTATTCGGTATTCCCTTACTTTCGCGCTGCTTCGTTACATTACGTTACGTTCTTCTTGGCCCTTTTGATTTACGTTTTTGGGTCACACACACAGGGCCTAAACCTCAACTCAACTGACTTTTTTTTATGCATTCGGCTTTCGGCTTTAGGCTTTCCAGCTAAATTGCGGATATAGTTATGCATACTAACAAACTCAAATGGGGCGAAACGAAATTGCGGCTTGCATAACAGCCTCTAAGTAGGCATCAAAAACTAACAAGAACCAATAGAAAAACCGAACAACGGAAAAGGATGTTTTTGTGTATGAAACATAAATGCACGACAACATCAACAATAATAATAACAATTAGGGTAATATCGAACAACATTTATTTGTGCAACTATTTGCAAATACGTTTTTAGTTATTTTAAGTAATTTAAATGTTTTTATAGTTTCCATGGAGGCTCTTTAATAGGGTGAGCAATGACATGAAAATGTTTTTCATCTTGATTTGAAATGATTATGGTTTCCACTTCACTGAACTTTGGCTATCAGGAAGACAATGAGCTGTATGTTAATTAACGGAAATATGAATTTAAAGCGGCATAAGGCTGAACATCAGGAAAATATTCCATGTTACGTAAATAAATTCCTTTAACAAGACAAATATTTATGTACTTATAAGATTTAGTTTGGAGGGTAAATATTTGTTATTAAGAAATATGCCACTGTGATATTGATTTCGGAGTTAAGCCACTTTTTCTTATGTGAGTAAATTTTTTCCAAAATTGAAATACCCTTTCTCAAACTCTTTTAAGAATATTAAGTTTTGACTCTATATGAAATGCATTTTTTAATTTGTTTTATTTGTTTATGTTTAGTTTTTTGGGGATTTGTTTTTACAACAAAGGAACACAACACAAATTACAACAAGTAACTAAACAATGTGAAAATAGCTAACACAAAAACATTTCGCTAGCTAACACATAAATTATCTTTGCATGGCTCTCGCATAAAATGTTGCAATTTTTTCTCCTTTGGCAGAGATAAATCATATAAAAAATGCTAATTCTATGCGACAGTGGCCTCAAATCCAACAGCAACAGAGGAGGACTCTGGGGAGAGGTCCTTTCAGTAGGAAGGACATTGGGCCAGGACATGGGAGGATCCCCTGAAGCTGCCGTTCTGTGGCCACCGAAAACTAGCTGAAGCTATAAATGATGAGTGATGGTCGCTTTTGCAGTTGTTTCTTATTTGATATTTTTGTTTTTGGTTGGTTGGTTGGTTATAGAGAGAGTTTTTTTTGGTTGCTGTGGTTGTTTGGGATGGTTGTTTGGTGGGTTGACCTATTTGCAACTTACCCATTCGGACATTTCGTGCGTATCAGCATTTCGATGATGATAATTTAATATTAAAATCGTTGACACAACGGATGAAGCTACCATAAACATTATGCAATTGAAATATGTACCTGTTGGTTGGTTGGGCGTGTTGTCAATATATATATTTATATATATATAAATATTATATATATTTATTTGTTCGGTGTAGGAATATATTGTAATTGTTGTAGTGGTGCATGGATTATTGGTTAGTTTTATTGTTATTGGATTGAAGTTTGTTGTTGTGTTAGTTCGATTGGGGTAACGCATATTTCAAAGATTTTATTCATAGTGTACGGTTTGGTTTCGTTTAGTTTTATATGCATTTTGTGAGCACATATAATTTTTGCGGAAGGTACATAGTTTGTTTGAAAGAAAGAAAAAGGCAAGAAATATGTACAAAATATTTAGTTAGTACATTAAATGCAAAAATGTTCGGTTTGTTAGCTTCTTAATCGTTGAGTTTTTAAAAGGCATAGCAAATGTTATTTTCGAGAAAAATACATATAGATTTATTATCTGTTTTTAATCACACACACACGAGGTTAACTTTAGTTTTTATACTTTAGACATAGGTAGGGTATATATAGAAGTTAGACACCAAAAAGTGTAAGCCAAAACGTAATGAGGAAAATTCAACAAGATAACTTTGATTTTAATTTTGTAAGCACTTTTTGGAGGAAGAGAATTCGAATTTGAGATTGTTTAATTTTGGAAAAACAAAATTATGAAAGAGTTAAAAACAAAGTTGGTTCGGTTTGTCGTAATTTGGTTTCAAGTTTGATGTTGCTTATATAGTGGAGCTGTTCCTTCTGTTGCCTTGATTTGTAATATTTTGTATTAATTTGTATTGTACTAGGAACAACCCAACTATATTCCAAATTCAGATACCTTAACAACCGAGACTAATAATATTTATAACGTGCAAGAAACTCGTTGTCAAATATGTGTGCATTAGTCAAACCAACTCGTGTTTTAAGTATTTATATATTGTATTGATGGGTTTTAATTTTTGGGGTTCTGATAATACGTTTTTTGCAAAGTTTTTAAGGGTTTTATTCAAATTTATATGCCCCTCTAGTTATGATTTATCGGTTTTCTTTCGCTACGTTCTTTTGGAAGCGTTTATTTTTGTTGCATCAGCGTGTATTCTCCTTTAAGACTTCAAAGCCAAATACTATTGTATAACATTTGCCTTTAATGCCAAAGGAAATATAAATCGACAGCTGTGCTTCAAAATATTTTGGGTTCTTTTTTAATTGTGTGTCAAAGTTTTAATATTATAAAATCATCGGATTTTATTTGGATTTTAAAATCATTTTAGAAATGCATGGATATATAAAATGAATATGCAACTGCAACTTTAGAGAGATATATATTTATAAACGAGTACATAGGTATATGAGAGTATCACAGTATAAGTGTTTACTTAATGGATTGCAATTAGAGAACGACAACTGAGGAGCACTTGAACTCAAAAGCAATAAGTACACACAGCGATAACATGATTTAGGTTTACATTTACGAGAAGCTCTACCATCGACTACAATTGGTTAACGAAATTATCTTACCCAATAGTGGAACCGCATCGGAAGTGGCCGGCATTGTTTCGGCCACCATATTGAGAAACACGGTCAGCGAGAGCAAGATGGTAACACCTAGATATCAGATGGAAAAATCGATTAAGTATGATGTACTACCTTGTGGTATGTATAATTCAAGGCAGGCATAATTTGTGCAAGTTGGGTCGGTTAAGGGTACTTCAAAATATTTATATTATATGAAAAATGTACGTTTCATTGTAAAAATTCTTTCCAACTCACCATTCATATTCTAAACATAAATGACAAATTTAAACTTTAACAAATATCCTATAAACTGTTTTATTTATTCCCATTTTTAGTTGTAGTAAATTGTTTAGCATAGTCACCACTTTCCTGAGTAATTATTTCCCGAAATCACTTGCCCTTGTCAAAACATGTAGCTCGACTTCACTCGACAGCCCACATCAGTCACACTCCTCCGGGGAGTCGGTTTAAACTTCTACAACCTTTTGCTAAGCTTTTAATACTGATGTCGTGCACTTTCCAACACCCACTTGCCTTGCTAGCCATTTATTTCTATTTCAGTTCTGTGTACTCAGACATCGACGGAGTTACAGTCCTTCGGTCGAGTCCCAACTGATTTTGCCAGCCACTAATGCTCTGTCCTGCCGATTGACGGCACTCTTCGAGGAGCGCTCCTTCCGCCCGGCTCGTTGAACACTTTTTACTACTCAGCCATGGCGGCATTAAAAGTTCAATAGTTTGTTTACCATCTCCGAGACTGTGGCGTCATCAGCGGAATTTTGTAACGACGGCAATAACTGGTAATGTGCGATGTCAGTCAGTCAGTCAGTCAGTCAGTCTGTCAGTTAGTCGGTTAGTCAGTCAGTGGGTTAGTCTTTCTAAAAAGTGAGCCAGCTGGCTAAGGAGCCACAGCTCATCCTTGTTGACGCGATTATGGCAGGCATCTTATTTGAAATTCGCTGCTTTTCCCGCCGACTAGGCTGTCATTATTTAAAAAGTACTTGGCAAATACTTTTCAAGCGGCTCTTCAGCTGTTTGCATGCATGTTGGGGATTCTCCCCCTTCCCTTTTCGCTTTCCCTTGTTTTCCCTAAGTATTTGCGTTGCGTAAGTGGTTTGAAATTAATGTGGCTTACTTTCCCCTTCTAGTTGGTGGCACTAGAATTAGGATTAGAATGTTTCCCCCGTTTACTCACCCAGTGATAGCTTTTCACCCGAATCCGGCGGCAGGGTGAATCCGAGCAGGGCCATCGAGGCAATCAGGACACAGGGTATGATCAGGTTGAAGAAATAGTACAGCGTCCTTCGGCGGATGATGATGGAGAAGGTGATATCTATATAGGGTTCCGGGCAGCAGTTGTAATAGATCTCGTTACGCTTGCCAGGCACACCTGCGATGGTTCAATTTGTACACAGCGTGTCATTAAACAATTGCATATAGGCTTTGAATCGGTAATTATGTTCTGGTCAGATTTGTGTCTGTGGCAGACTTTACTTGCTACTCGGGCTGAGCATCTTGTTCTGAGCATATTACAAGAGTTGAGCAAAGTTGGGGAGTTGAGTTGAGTTGAGTAGAGTGGAGTATGGATAGTTGGTGGCAGTGGAGTGGCAGAGTAGCGTTTAGAGTTTCAAAAGCGTGTTTGGTAACAGAGCAGAGCAGATCAAAGACTAGAGTGGCTGGTAAGTGTAATTGAAGCATTATTGCCATTTACAGTTCTTCAATGTTTTACAGATATGAGAAGTGGTTGGTAAATTTGTGTGCTGTGTGTTTCTGCATGCTGGTTGGATGTTTCTGTTTCTGGGCTCTGGGTTCTGGATTCTGGATTCTGGATTCGGGGTTAAGGGGTTGAGGTTTAGTTGAGGGTAAACATAGTTTCGGAAAGAGTTTTATTTGTCTAGGCAACTAATTGTAAGTAAAGTTAAGTAAGAGCAGAGCAGAGAGTGGAGAAAAGCCGAGCAATTTACTATGGGGAAAAGTTTTATGCACTTTGCTTTACCAAAATGTAAATACGTAGTAGAAAAGTATGTAGTATGTAGAGATAAGAAATCGTTTGCGGGTTATTCAAGTATGCATATACATGTACAAAATCAAAGTTAGTAAGTTGAAAGTGGTGTAGTGTAAAGAGTTATTGGCTGTAAATCGAGAGTTCCTGATGTGTCTAAGGGTTGTGTAAACTGCACTTGTTATTATGACTTGAAATTGAGCTCCAGAAATATTTAACCTAGCTCGCATTTTATTGGCCAACTGCGACAAAGCAAACTAAAACCACAGCTCAACTAAATAGTTGTCCCAGAGATGGTCCTCGCTGATTGAAAGATTCCTCGAACTTCTGCTAATCTGCTTCCTGTAAGAAAATTTGTCCTCGAATTCTAAAGTACTTCCCATTCAAAAGGCATAGTACCCCTTTCCCCGATAACTTCAGCTTAATTGCTTTTCCCCCAACCGTTTTCCGACATGTTCGCAATCATATTTGCAATAAAAACTTTTGGCGAAAGCATTTGCCATATGCCCAAAAGAAATGCAGAAAGAAAGAAAATAGAAAGTAGGAGTGGCAGTGGGAGTGGAAGTGGAAATGGAAGTGGCAGTGGGTAGACAACAAAACTTCAAGCTAAATTATCTGCTCAACTTACTCCAAGATTACCAAAGGGATTACCAGAGACAGAGACTGCGAACAAAATGCCTTGGCAGCGTATTTAAAAATGACCTAGCTACTTTGGGGTCCCTCCCCGAATTTCCAAACTCCTTCCCACAAGCGTTTACCTCTTACGTCTGGCTGGGAGCACTTGGCCAACTCAAAATAATTTGCATAAGCTGGTAGAGAAAAAAAGCCGCAAATGCGCATACAGCATAAGAAAAGGATCGGAGGGGGAAGGAAAAAAGGAAGAAAACCCCGCTGAAAAACTTTGGAAAACACCCGTAAAATTACGCACACAAAAATAAAAATCAAAAACAGAAAAAACGAGAACTGAGAACAAAAGAGAACAAAAACGAATGGAGTTGGCAAATGAAACTAAAATTTGTTGCAAAACATTTTTCTTCTTTGCACTTTTGTGGCCAGTGTTGAGTTGAAAACTTTCTGTGTCTGTAGAGGCACTAATTTACAGTGCATACGAGTGAATGTGCGAGGATGCAGAAGTATTTGTCTTTTAATTTCTTAATTGGTTCTGGTGCATGGTACTAACGGCAATCTTAAGAGCCGAGCGCTTTTCCCTTTAATTATCTATTCAGCTAGTTCGGAATTTCACCAGACAAAAACGAGGGTGTGGCTGGATTTTCAGCTGTCATGGTTTTTCACCAGGATGCTTCCATTTTCGCATTGACTGCGAACGAATTTTGGTCTTTCCTTCATTGAAACTTTTTGGGTTTTGTGTTTTTGTTATTTTACTCCAGTTTGCTAGCTAGTTGATTTCTTGCTCTAACTGCGCCTTCTCATTGCTCAGTTCGCTTTGTTATTTTAAAATATCTTCTTGTTTTTGATACAGGGTAAACTCACTTTAAAACTTTGTTTAAAATGTACGAAAACTAAACGCAATTTAAATACCTTCAACCATAGATGGATGAACCATTTTTAGTTCGCACAAATATGTATATTTTTTTAAAGTAAACATCTTCATAATTTTTCTTTTCTAAAGAAATGTTTTTAGTTCGCCAAATGTATTTTAAAGTTCTCTATTGAGGGTAAAAGGTATTTGATCGAAATGTAAACAAAAATATTGTTTCCAAAATGCTTATTAAGTAATATTAAATTCGCTCTAGTTTAAATTTATAATGTACAGTTGCAGCGTTCGCGTTTCTATAAAAATTCCCGTTTTTCGATCTAAAATGTTAATCAAAATGCAAAAAAAATTCCGTATATCTTAATGGCTGCCTTAGTATTTAAGGACAGTTAGTATAAGTTAGGATTATAGCATTTAAGCGTTTTCTATTCAGCATTCAGATTCTTATCGTACACGCTATCGACATGCCTTTAGCTTCGATTAAAAAAGGATTCAGATATTCCGGAAAAAATGATCTAAGGTTAATGCATTCAAGGGCCAGCCTTACCTCGGTATTAGGTTTATAACTTATTTTGGCCTGCACTTGGAGCAGCATATTTAGGCTGCACGGAAGCCCAAAGTTATGCTCCTCCAATCAGACTGCTTACACTGAGAGTAAACGAAATGTTTACGCGGCTATTTCGGACTTAAAAGTTAAAGCGCCCAAAGAATTTTTGCGATAGTTTTGGTTGTTATTTTTTGTTTTTTGTTTTGAAAGTAGAGTGAGTGGGAGAACACTGGATAAGCGTGTGATTTGGGTGGAGTACGAAAGTATTTTAGTAATTGGGTGGGATAACAACAACAGGGTTCATCGAGTGCCTTACTTAATTCCGTATTCATTGACCTCGAAATTGAATGAACGAACTATAGAAAAGTATTAAAAGGGGGTGATGTAAACCGACTCATCTCTAAATGATTGAACGCTCATTTCAATCACGTATCGATGAGCAACACAGTCGTAGTTTCGAACGGAACGAGTTCGGAACTTTAGTTCGCAGCTTGAACCCTGCTCAAGAGTGAAAGAGAGTAAGTAAGAGACAGACAGAGAGAGACAGAGAGAGTGAGAGTTGAAGTTTGCTATTGTGTGTGTGTGTGTCACTGTGCCAGTGTGCTGCACAGAAAAGTATGCTACGAATTAACAGCCGCAGAGGCCGAACTGCGCGAAGGAGGAGCAGCGATTCCTTAGCACTTTGCCATTGTCTTTTCGCCGGCGGAGGATGTGGGCTCCCCCACCTCCACACACACTGCAATCGGGAGCACTAAGTAGTGATTTCTGAATTCATATCTTTCTTTTTTTTTTGTGAATGCAAGGAACGGAGTCTCAAATTCTGAGGATGTCGAAGTATGTAGAGAGAGGAAGGAGTCGCTCCAGGACGACGTTGGCTTACTCACCCAGTAGTTCCCACTCGCCGTTGAGCACGTAACTGCTGATATCACCGCCAGTTTCATCTTGTAATTGTAAATCCAGCTTTTTATACGATATATTCGGGGAGAGGGTAGAATAATGTAAATATCTCACTCGCATCAGATGCACAAAAGTGAACAAAAAACAAACAGAAAAGTAAATGATAATTATTACTCGAATCGAATCGGTCAAGCATAACAACTACGAGTTCTTTCGGTCAGTAAGTGAAGTACTTCCTGGTTGCCTTGCTTGGACTTGGGAGACTGAACCAAACCTGGAATCCGTCGTAGGTCCAACTGCCGAACTTCATCTCGCACCGCTGATCGTCGAACGGGAACCACGTGATGTCGATCTTGCACGTCGACTTGAAGATGCCCGGCGGAACGTACAGACAGGATCCGTTGTTCCGCACCACGACGTTCGTCTGGTAGGTGCCGTCGAATCCCTCATCCGCACTGTTGTACATCAGCACGTCCGGCTTCCAGATGCGATGCGGCGGTATTCGCAGGTCCTTCACGCCGCCGTAGTCGGAGGTGTTCCAGCGCAGATTCATGTCGTTCCACTCAAGCTTCAACCACACATTCGTGACTAGCAATTGATTTTTCTCGTCCTGCCGGGGGATTAAAAAACAAACAGGAAGTTAATTACACACGTCGTTCGGAACCAAGTATTAATAATTAACGCGTAAAAAACGCTGGCATATATAACTGCATTAATAGAGTGAAAAGTTTGACTGAAAATTCGCACTGAATGTGTGTTTTTTATACAAGGGATTTCCTGCCGCAACGGATGCGAGTTGCTGTGGGATTTGGTCGGCAGCTCACTCACTTCATAAAAATGTGGCAATTGCACCAATGCAAGTAAGTCTGGACATGGTTGTTTCCTCAACCAGCTAAAAAACTGTTTACCTTTCATTTTGCTTAACGGATATGGAAATAAACTAGGTGATCGGATTTTTTCAAAAACGATTTTGCTTAAGTTTCAGATTTGGTATTTAGTCATTCAGAAAAATACAACTCATTACGTATTCTGTTTTCTCCAGGGGGAAGATCGAACGGGAAAACCAAAATCCGGCTGCTAAAAAATCCACAGCTCTTCACTTTAATTGAGCTTTAATCAAGATAGTTGAATTTTTAAAATGCAGCCTAGTCGGTTGGCCCAGGGGATGTGGCCCAATAACCGAATCCGCGCATTGCAGCGAAAACCAGACGCCGAATCCGCCGCAGCGGCAGCTGCTCCTAAAAATTCAACTGCTGCGCACAGGGCGTATGTGTAATTTACAATTAAATGCCTGAAATATTCATGGTTCACTCGGTGAGCAGGAAACAACAACAAAAACAACAGCAACGAAAAAGAAATCGTAAAGCGAATGCGAGAGTGCACACTGGGAAAATGAAAACAACTGGCGAAAAGCAAATCTCGGGCGCTTAACTAACAAAGCGAGAGCCAAGGACCACAGGGAACCGAAAGTGGCGAGGATGGCAGGATGGCAGGATGGCAGGTCGAAGGACTCGGGATGAGCAGCAGCTTCGCGCCGCTCGAATACTTTGTCCGAGCATGTTTCGTTAGTCAGGGTGCAAGTGCAATCAGAAATTGGGCTCAAATATGCGACAGAAATGCGGTGGAGATGAAATGGATCCCAGCGTTTGCCCATCGGAGAACCGAAAAACCCGCAGGCGGTTCCACCCAACCAGCGCCAATATGTTTTCCGGGCAAATCGGATCGGCTGATGAGGGATTGAGGGGGGTGGGGACTATAGAGGAATTCTGGAGGCCCACAAAATCGAAGCATGCGGCAAATATAACGTTGTAAAGGAGCGACGTGGCAGGACTTGGTAATATTGCGGCCATAACGCGGTGCAAAGGCAAACACGAAACGTGTCCCTGTGTGAGTGTGTGAGTGTGTCTGTGTGTGTATGTGTAAGCCTGGCTAAATATAGCCATTACATTATTGCACTTGACTGCAGCAGAGAGTCCATTTCGGCCAGCCACCCCGCCTGCAAACAGCCCTCCCGCCGCCTGCATACTTATATTTTGCAGTGCACTTTGCGACTGCGGCCACAGCAGACAAACAAATGCCTGACGCTAAAAAGTATGCCATGGTTTTTGCGAGGACGAAAGCGGATGGCAGGAAACAGGGTCGACAGCGACCTAATAAAATTCCGTTTTCCAAATTGAGTTTCTGTTGACGCTCTATAATTTCGCCGGCTTACACATTGAGTGCGTTTTTTGGTTAGTCGCGCCACTCGAATAATTCGCTTAGCAGGCCACGGAAACGAAATGGTTTATCTCTTTAAAGATTTCGCATTTCAAACTTACTGAATAGAGCTCTATCCTATTTTAATTTGTTAATTTACTCTTATTCAGACGCAAATCATCATCAACGGCTTTCTTTTGACAGGACGTTGCCTTTCTGGTTATTTATTTTAACTGCAGTTGTCGGCAAAACTCCTATTTCCCTCCCATCCAATTTAAATTTAGAATGCGCACGTTCATTTGGAGTAAAAGCGGTGCACACAATTATAAAACTAACAACCGCAAAACGTGAGAGCGTGAAATATTTAATTAAAAACCCAGACAAAATGGAAGTCATCCTGTAAAAACTTATAATTGTGTATTTATTTTAAATTCAGGTAACGAGTTTGGCAACGAACAGAAGGGAATTCTCTGAAAATATATTGAACAAGTTTTTCTGTAAAAGCATTTAAAAAAACACATAATGTGTATAAATGATTTTAAAGTTCTGAATTTTATATGCAGTATGGTACTCTTATTTTAAGCCTGTAATAAATATTATTTCTCTGTGCCTCGTCGGTCGTCTGGCCTCAAAGGTTTTTGATGCATCCTTAAAAAAAGGCGGAGTGCTCGAAGCCTGTTGGCTGTTTTTTGTATGTTTCTTAGTGCAGCAGCCGCAGAAGAACCGTCCGTGTATAAACGAAGCTTATTCGCATTCAAATAGTGTGCGTGTATATGAATGTATATGGGCTTATGTGTGTCTACTAAAGGAGGTAAAGAAGAAAAAAACATATATATAAATAAATGGCGGCTACGAGCGGCAGTTGTTGAATTTTAAATGAGCAAAAAAGCAAACGGCAAAATTATTGCAGCCCAAAGTTTTTATTTCCCTCGCTCACACTTTTTGCACAGCCTTCGACGGGGCCAAAGACAAGTTTCGTTATGTGGAAATTTGCATATGTGCCGCGCAAATACATATTCTCGCAAAATCCACACACACCGAAACAAATACACACACAAACGAAGTCAGTTCATTGACATGGCAGGCCAACAACGTTCGGGGAATTTAAAAAATGGAAAGCCAACTCGAAGCCGACTGAAACTGTGGCATAAAGCGCGGCGCTTTTTTCCCCACGCACTCACACTTACTCACTCGTACACACACACAAGCACACACATACACTGAAGCGCAGGCCTAGTTTCTCATTGTCCTGTATGCATAAAAAATGGCTGGCCCATCTCGACTTCATTACTCATTTTCCGCTGATATCCGTTGATATTCACCCCTGCCCTTCCGTCGTCCTGCGCCTACTTAATCACTTCCTCCCTTTCTCCGCCCCCTTCCCCTCCACCTCCTTTCGTATCCTTCCACATCCTTAGCCTTCGTCTTGGCCCTTATCTGAGCCCTCTTCGCCGCCGCCGCCACCCCGCCGCTGTCTTTCCCCCATTGATGCCAATTAATCTGCGCCTCGCTTTGTCTGTTCCTTTTTAATTAATGCGCCTGGGAGTTGTTTTATTTGTACTTTCACCGCCTTTCACTCCGCCTGCCCTGTAATTTCACCTCCTCGCCCTGACAGTCAACTTCTTTTTGTATCCTGTTTTCCCTGGCCTGTTTTTCACTTTCTTTTTTTCAGTTGGCTTTTTTTCAGAATAGTTCTCAATAATCCCCATTCCATTTGTCATGCCGGCTGATTGTGCTGAACGGCAAAAGAATGCTTATTGGCTTACTCACAGCCTAGCTTTCAATTTGACTCACTTTAAAATGGATTACATTTTTTGGTATTAAGTTTCGAATCAGTGGATATTCTCTAAAACTATTGGGAGTCACTTATGCAAGGTATTTACTGCCAGGAGAGAATGAGCCGTCTTAATTACATAAATCCTTTTCCTTTTCTGTTTAATCCCACTCACTTAAGATTAAGGAGTATTCATTCCTTTGTATTGAGAACTCGCGAAATTCCTTTCTTTGCCTTTAAATGTTTAATTTCTTTCACAGAGTGTTTCGTTTTTAAATTGTTAAGTGGTTTCGATTATTGTTTTCATTATTTCCTTGAATGCGAGTATCCTGCTCTTAATGTATTACGGCCAGGAGATTGCTTTCACTCGGCGCATTTAATTAAAATACACTTCAGTATTCATTTCTTCCACTGGGAAAATAATTGGAACTGATTTCAACAGTGCTCTGCTTTTATATTTGGAAACAAGGGGAATACTTGGGTAATTGCAATATGCAATTAATTTGGCGCTGTTTGTATATTTTCGAGAGCTTACTTTTCTCCCTTAAGCAAATATACTTGTGTATTGATAGGTTTAAATAACAATCATATGACAATTTAAAAATAAAAATGAGACCTGACGGTAAATATTTACCATGTTGTTACGTTTACATAACAGCGGGGTGCATGTCATTATAATTTTATTTAATTTTGTAGTAAAAATTCAATTTAAAACGCATCCGCGGTACGGTTTCTCAGCAGTGGGTCAAAGTGCTGCCCCAATTCCAGCGAAACTCCATGCCAGCCACAAGCCATTGAGCAATCCTCTGGACCGGACAGCCATCCTGCCACCACTTACATGTATTTATGTGGCCAGGCGACGTTGTGCTCATTTGACAAAGTCGTATCTGCACAGGAGAAACGGGAACGATATGGAGGAGTGGATAGGAGGCACATGGATCCTCCGTCGCAGTCAGTTGCACAGGCACAACATCAATCAAAGCGAAAGTGAACCAGAAGCCAAAGCAGAAGGAGAAGCCTTTCCCCTCAAACCACGGCCGAAAATGCATTGAAAGCATTTGCGAAAGTATGCCAAGCATGTCCATAACCATCTATGCACATGGGAAACCTGTTTATGTTGATAGAAGCCCCCGACAGACCAACGAGAGACCATTGATGGCTTACGTGTACCGGGCCAAGAATAGAAAACCGCTGGCAAAGTGTTGCACGAAGGCATTCTAATTTCATTGCCAGGCGTGGCGCATAACAAAGGGAAAGCTCTTCCGGACACATACACAAGCACACGACTCAAGAAAATGCAATTTCCAGCGGCAAAAATTGCCAACAGGAAGTAAATCGAGGGGGTGGCGATATGGCTTTGTCCTTTTTCAAAGACCCGTTGACGACCTCCGGGAAAAGCAATTATGACCTGTGCTTTACATAAATCAAATGGGGATAAAAACCATATTACACAAGGACTGCCATTGTTTGAATGGTCCTGTGATTAGAATCCTCCTAAGCTCACTTTCTGCACAGCTGCCGAAGGAGCCGAGCTGTTGACACTGCCCGATAAGTGAAATTGATGGAAGGAAAAGGGCCTCCATGTATCCATTTTTCCATTGTTCAGTGGCACTGTGGGTGCAGTATTTTCAATTGCAGAGCCTCTGCTGCTCGGGATTCCCTGTCAGGTGCTTAATCTTTAAATTGCTTGGAGACCCAGTTGGAGGAGGGTGAAAAAAATATGCAAATGCAGCTGGAGCCCTGCATTTAACAGTTAAAATATTGCCACCGTCGAAAGATGGCGTATCCCCATCGGACAACTAATGGCATCGCCGACCTGCAACTGGCAGAAAAATCGTTTTCACAGGAAAAAAAAGAACATAATTCTTTTTGACGTTTTTTCCGCTGAATTTTTCTGATTCGATTGATTGAACAAATGGCATAACCAATTTTTTTGTTTGATAAAAATGACAGATCAACTTGCTAAAAAATGCAATTTAAAATGTATATCAACTGGAATCTTCTTTGAACAAATTCAGAATTTGTCAAGCTAAGAAACGATATTTTCACTTTTCAAATGAAAAAAGAAAACGAATTCTTATTGGCTTTTCATGACTTTTTCCCGTTTCTTTTTATACTCTGGTGCAATAAACGCCAATGCCAATTGAGATGGGGAGTGGCTGGAGAGTCATATCCTTTATTATCGCACCATATGCAACTAATTTCCGTACGATTACGATTCCCCGTCAAGCATTAACAACTTTTTGATTGCCGTGACATCTAAGCGGGCCACTAACAGTGCGCAATAAAAGTTTGAGTATGCCACGCGGGCCTCGTAAACTCTAGTTTGGCATCCGAAAGGTGGCAACGGTCGTCATTCCCTCTCATTTTGCCCGAATGACCCCGATTTTGGGTTTATATCCCCGTCGCGTTCGGCTGCCCTCCTCGCCGCTTCCAGTTGCCGCCAGTAATTGCTGCTTGCCTGTCGCTCCTGCTGCGTTTTGGAGTCGAGTGTGCGTGCTGCAGTTTTTACTGCCACCTGCCACATGCCACCCGAAACGGAACGAAACGAAACGGCAGCAAACAACGACCGCCAGCGCATTGTGCCCATTCGTTCTGTTCTTTCAACTTCATTTTGCACCAGCAGCAGCAACTCGCACTTCATTGCTTTGCCCGCGCGAAAAACTCCCTCCCCAAAAACCCCCTCGAAAAACCCCGCGAACCCTCGAAACCCTCGAAACCCGCACCCCCTTTCGCAGCCCTCGGGTTTATATGTTTTGGCACAAGGTGCGAAAAGCACATGTGCAAATTTTATTTATTCATTTTATTTGCATGCCAAGTGTGTACGGCTGTATTTTATTGTAAATGCACGGCTCAAAATCGGTAAATGCTGCCTTTTAGGCAGGCATTGTAAGAAAATCGGTTTTATGTATTTTATTTAAAGAAGATAAACATTTCTAGTTAAATAAATTAAAGAACAGAAACCAAATGTGTGTCAAAAAATAAACAAGATTTTATTTTTAATTTTTTAAAAGCAATTTTATTTAATGGTGATTTTTCCCATTTTTCAGCTTAAGTTTTTTTTTTCTGATATCCCATTTCTCTTAGTGTGCTTTGCATTGCCTTTCACTGTTTGCCTTTGTGTGAGTGTATTTGTTTGTGTATGTGCGACTTTTAGCGCGTCACTGAATGCGCAGTTTTCTAGCGTCTGGAATCGTTTTCGCTTTTATTTTCTGTTTTTTTTTTTTTTTTTGCTCAGCCATATATGCCAGCAGCAACTTTTCTGCGTTGCTGTTTTTGCTTTTCATGCCTCATGTGTGAGTGCCTTTTGTTTGTGCGCTCCATTTTGCTGAATCCCAACTTTGTGCGGGACACCAGGCCTGCCTTTTTTTTCCTGCCTGGCTCAGGAGCTGGTCCTGGTTTTAGTTATGACTCCGAGGGGGAGAGAAAAGCGGGGGAATGGCCAAACAAACAAGCCACACATACGGACAAATGCAATGCAAATCTAATATGAATTGAGGTTGTCTCACTAACAAAGGCAAACGCCTCGCGTCGCCTTTTCCGACAGTTTCCACCTTATTCGCTCGCCAGTTCTTTCTGCAGGTTCCTCAAACCACTTTCCCACACCCCCCCTATCCCATGACTTTTCACCCCCAACGCAATTGTAAGTTAGGGAAAAGTTTTCGCAACTGATGAATGCAGAACGAACGCCTGCCCGCTCGAAAGGTGAAAATGAGTCAAACGCCGCACATGCCACATGACGTTGCATGTAATTTGCTCGACACTGCCAGTCAGCCAGGATATGTGTGTGTCCTGTCTGCAAATAGGCCAAAAGTGCGGGGGGGCGGGGAAGGGGCTGCCATTCAAGGAACAGCCAACAGGACACACATGGGTGTAAGTGTAAGTGTGTGTATGTGTGTGCGCTGCTCTCCGGCAAATAATTAAAATTTCACTTTCTTGGCAATTCACTTTTTGCCCAGGACCAAATTGTGTCATCAGGGATTCTTTTTTCGAGCTGCCTACTTTAAGGCGCCTTTTGAAAGGTGCAAAAGAGTTTTGAAACCGAAAGTTCCCTGCTGACACAGAACTGGCGGTAATTAAAACGGGAAATTAAGGAAATGCTTTTAGTTCCGCGATCTTAATCACAGTGAATGCTTTAAGTTAACTGAGTATTGCGAAGGGTTTTTACTTGAATTTAAAGATTCTTTCTTCAAACACTGACACTAAAATTAGTCAGTACTTAAGCGGACTTAAATAATTAATTAGTTGTATCATATATAACTAGTACTTACCACATCGATAATTTGCATTAAAGTTAAACCAAAGCTTAATTGTAACGGGTCCGATTCATTGAGAACGGGACGTTCTAGTGAATTATAAGGATCCAAAAGATCATGTAACAGTCTCTTTTCATGATATCCTGCTAGGCAAACTGCAAGTAGATAAAATTCGAATTAGTGCATACAAGTTACTCGGCAAACTTGGATTCGAGTCCTGCACAAGGACTGCAGCAACTGTTTGCCATTTCGCAGGAGCGCCGCAAATCAACATCAATAATTCGGCAAATGGAAGGGAAGAAGGGCAAGTGGCTTCGTGGGGAAGACAACAACTAAAATTTATTGATATGCAAAAGTTTACGGGTTTTTGGTTTCTGCAACTTGGTTTTGCTCGGTCCTTGGACTTGGCTTGGTCCTTTCCTTCGAGGGGAAATTCAGGACCTCTTTGGATGCGGGCCTTGCAGTCGGCGTCGAATTGGAAAGGCAACAGAGAATGGAGTTCGAAAGGATGGCAAAAGAAAAGTTTTTTGTTCTTCCTCGCTTTCCCAACACACATATGTCTTTCCCAGTCGCAAACTTGTGTGTGTGTGTGTGTGTGTGTGTGTGAAGAGACCATTGTTCTCTGGCAAGCGAATAACAAAAGGAAACTTTTATTGAGCAAAAGTTTTTCACATACAAATTTTCTTGTTACGTTTTTTCCCCAGCGATAATAGATTGCCTCACCCACACCCACACACACACAAACACACACATACAAACACGGACATATTCGCATCGTTATCGTGGAATTATTTATGCATGAATGTGGGCAGCAGAAGAAACTACAAAAGAAACTAGATGAAGTTGAAGGAGGGATCCAAGTTGCTCGCCTGCTCTTTGCCTCTCAATTTGATAATTTCTTAAGAGTTTTCCCCCAGTTTTTTGCGCAGAACCCCCCTTTTCTTTATTTTCCTTTTTTTTGGATTTTTTGCTATAAAAGCACTATAAGCAGACATTAAGTAGCGGTAAGTGGCGGATTTATTGAGTTGAGCGATTGAGAATGCAGTTCATGTGGCAATGGAAAATAATCTGGCGAAATTGCTTTTCGTGGGGTTCTTCAAATTGATTTAATCCCAGATTGATGTGCAATGCGGCATTTGCCCTAAATTCGAAGAGCTTGACGGTAATTAAATTCTCGAATTATTCCACCTTTTGCTTTGTGTGCACCGTGCACCTTTTTCTTTTTCCTTTTTTTTTTTGTGGGTGCAGCGGTAAAAGTTGGAAAACTATTGTACGTTGCGAAACTTTTCACTTTCAGTGAACTAAGCCCGCTTAACCCAAAAGATTTGCATACGAAATGAACAGCGTTTAGAAATTATGCACATGAATTTTTTAGTTTTAATTTGTCTTTGGTCCTGTTCCAGCTGGCTTTCTTCTGGCTCTGCCACTTTCTACGTCGTTTTTGCATATTTCATTCGCTTTTCACGCGCTCTCTCTTCCTTGTTCATTTAATATTAAAACAAAATGACGAGCCTGCGGGCCAAAAAAAAAAAGAAGCGGAGGGACCAGATGAAGGAAAAACTGCAGCTAACGAGCACGGGCCAGGCCAACAATGAGTGGGTTGTTGGGTTGTTCAGTTGTTTGGTTTCTCAGTTGTTGGGTTCTTGGGTTGGGTGGGTTGTTGGGTCGGCGGACAGGGCACCTAGTTAGGCCTTTAAGGCAAAGCATTGACACCAGAAGAGCGGAGGAGTGGGCCCAGAACAAAGCAACAGGAGCGCAGCAGCGGCTCAGAAGAGACAAAACCAGCAGGACAAAATAAAAAAAGAGGCCAACGTCTGATGAAGTGTCAAAATGAATGTGATAATAAAACAAATATGAGGGCCTGCCAGCGATCCTGAGTATCGGCCGCCCATTGTAGCCGCTCACAAAGGCGACTTTTGCCGACTTTTGACTGCGACATCACGAGCTGCTGCTTTTGTTTTTATTTGGCTTTGTTGTCTAACCATCATAAACAGAGAAGCAACGAACAAAAAGTGATATGTATAAATTATAAAATAAGGATAAAACTTATTTTGGGAGCCACAAAAATTAAGCTAAAAACTTAATTGGGTTATTTTATTAAACCTAAATCAAAAATTCGATAATGGTTTACTTATTTAAAACTCTAACCAAAAATGTCTCTCGTTATTCCAAAAATTGCAATCGCGTCAGTCAAAATAAAGCCAGTTAATTAGTGGCTCGGCCAAAAAGTCAGGGAGTCATTAACTTTCCATTTTAGAGTCGTTAGCTTTTCGCGAAGTCGAGTCATCTTTAAATTTGGCTTTCTTCCGCTCTCTCTATATTTTCCCAACAGGCTGCGGCCATTTCGAAATGCCTTTTCAATGGCTGCACTTCCGTTTCGTCATTTTCATTTTTTTGGTTGATGCCCCGGCAGCTTGGTTGTCGTTCTTGTTTTTTGTTGTTGTTGTTGTTATTGTCCGTCGGCAGGCCGCATAAAATTGCAATTTTATTGCAGTGGAGCATGAAAAAGTAATTGCTATTCCACAAAGCCAAACCAAGTCGTTGGCCAGACAGAGAGCGGTGGAGACAGAGGGAGAGAGAGGGAGACAGCGCGAGGAAGTGCGGCAACAGCTGCAAGAACTGTGGGTTGCAAGAACGGCGGGTGAACGCGGCACACTCGAGCGGGCCAATTTAATGTGCCAAATAAAAAACAACCGAAATTGGTTAGAAAATGCAGCTGCCTACGAAACACACGCCGCAACAACACCAATAATAACGACAGCAAATTGGCCGACGCTCCTCCAAAAAAAAAAAGAAAATAGGAGCCAAAAAAAGGAAGTTCGCTGAAAACGAATTTTTCGAAAGCTTTTCAATGATGGAATACCCTTTAAAATATAATTATTAAAATAATAATTTAAACTACCTAAATAACAATTTTTTTAAGGAATTTGGCAAGGACTTTAACCGAAAAATCCGAGTTACACAAAATTCATCCAGGAGTCCAGACTCCCATCGCATCAAATTATTGTAATTCTAAAACTTATAGCTTAAACAGTAAAAGTTTATGCTTAATGTAAAGAAACTTACAAATACTTCTTAAATTCTGAATGTAAACACTTTTTTCGGCAAGTTCTTTTCTCTTTTCTATCGTTTATCCGCTTTCTTTTCCTTGGCCAAATAACCTCAGATAAGAGTAAAGAGATGTCAGAAATATTTCGACTCGCGCTGTCCGCCGATATTAAAAATTGAAAGCAAAATGAAAACTGACGGGGCGCCAAACCACTTAAGCTCCCAAAACCGATACAATATGGGGTGGGATTCGCCGCGTTGGAGAAAGCGGCGAGGGGACGAAAGTGATGAAGCCTGATGGCTGTCTGTTCAGAAGGGTGAACACTGTACGGGCGGCCCACCTGCTAATGGCTGCGGGGAAGGAGCAGGGATTTTCGGAGGAGAATGCGGGGCTTTGGGAAACGAGAGAGCTCAGAAGCGAGCGTTTTAATAGCGCCAAGGTGACGCTTAACCATTCAAAGCTTAATTTATGCAATAAAAATTCCAACACTAACCCGCCCCTTCGGAGTCACCCCCAATTCTCCCCACCTTACACACACACATACAAACACACCCATACAGTTGCCCTTAATTGGATGGGGCTTGGATGCTGGGAAAGCATTTAATTGCTTATGACTTTCTTGTTTTCCTTTTCCCTGTTTCTTTTTTTACGTCCACGGACGAGGCAGATAGAGTAACCTGAGACGAGAGTAGCCTTAAAATGGAAACAAATCGATAGACAGCTCTGAAGGGGAGCAAAGTTGAGAGAAGTGAAAGAGCAGCGCTACTTGGAAAAACATTGTGTTTTACAAAAGGTATTGAATGTATCTACCATTTAACTTTTAAGTTCTCTACAGTGACCTTTATCTCTTCAGTTCAGATATAAAAATTATTAGTTATATTAGTTTTTTAATTTGTTTTGTATTTACATATTATTTATTTTCCTAAGTCGAATATTACTTTTTCGCAGTGAAAAACAGTAACTGGCATTCCCGGCAATTCCCTGGCAGGGCCATCAATCAAAGTGCCTTGTGTCCACTATTGAAAATTATGAATGCCATCACATTTAATGATTGATTTTGGTCCAGGCAACGTTTGTGAGTCTCTCTCCTGCCTCACGTTTGATCCTTTTTAATACTGGATACAGATGGGCTGGGGATTATTTGTGCTGGGCTGATGGGCCCATCATCTGTCTCAGTGGCATGTGTGCGATATTTGTGAGTCTGTGAGTCTGGATGGGCTCCATAATGCAAATGGCAGGCATGACATTGTGTTTTTCTTTCTTGTACAACCCTTTAGCTAATGATGGAAGGGAACTTGTGACATTTATCGTATAGATTGATAGAACCGAGGGGGAGTTGACATTTGAAAATGCCTGAATAATGCATGCCATTGTGGGTGTACTAAAGGGAGTTCCACAATAGATAAGGAACAACATTTTTTTGTAAAAGAAAGTTGCAAAAAGGTAGTTGTTGGTGGCAACAAAGCCATGTCGAAGTTTACTTTAAATTCACATAACAAAAACTTAAACCACTTTTCAGTAATCCTGTGCAAGACCTGCAGCTGTCCGGTTTAATTAAAATATAAAACCATTGAAGTGAATCTAAAATGAACATTTAAACTAAAGCCCAACAAAAAGCGGCTTTGCCTCTTGCCAAAATACAAATTAATTCTATCGTCTCATGTTAGCGCCGAAAGACAAGAAATGAAACAACGGGGGCCTGTCAGAAGCTGAGAGTCTTGAAGTCTTGAAGCATGCCAAAAGCCTTTCCGTAGCAATAAATGTCATACTTACAGGACATGACCAGAGAAGAGCAGAGGCAGAAAGGGCACTTGGCTGGCCAACGGGGCGTATGAACGATGTCATAGGGCAAGCGCATACCCGACACACTCATGAATACAGTAACAACCGCACACTCGACACACACACACACGACTGCAGCTGGTGTAAGCAACGTTGACGTTGTGCAAAGTTTAAATCTGATTAGCGATGGCAGCCAGCAGAAACGAGGAACGAGGGGCTTTACAATATGGCCGGGCGGAAACGGAAGTGCTGCCATAAAATCATAAACATGCACACGCATATGGACAGACGGCAATTGTTGTTGAAACTGCTGCCGCTCGTCGCTGCCGCTGGTGTTGCATGAAACATGAACTGAAAGCCAAAGCGACAGGACAGACACAAAAAACGAAGTAGGGAACGAACGACTTCGACTGCAGACACACAAGTTGCCACAGCGGTTACACATGGCTTAAATTTATGAATACAGCCAATGAACAGTGGTGCAAAGATATTCAAAAACTATTTTTAGGTTGAAAAAACTCCAAGAGAAAAATAAACTAAAAGGATATTCTTGATGTATTAAAACTAAGTAACACACTAATTCCTTAATAACACTTTTGTAATCAAACAAAATAAGAAAAAAATGTGTGGCTAAAAGTGTACCGAATTACATAACTTGTTGTATATGTTGACGTCCATTTAAGTGGTAAACCCATTATAATTATTAAAACTGAAAGCCTGGCACCACCGTACAACGCTTTTGTGTACTTATTTACGCTTCCACAGACTGTGGCACGCTAACCGCGACACGCGAATGCGACTTACTCAGCGCCAGCCTGAAACATTGGCAACACTTCCCATGCTGTGCTTTTTGCTGCCCCCAACCCAAATGGGTAGCCATTAATAACCCCAATATGTGTAAGTGGCAGTCAAGCCATCTCCTTGCCACCATCTTCAGGTGGATATTTTTTTCTTTCTTTTTTTTTTTTTTTAGCTGCTGCTAATGGAATGGCAGGCATTTGAGCTGCTAACCAAACTTGGTCCTTGTCTTGTTGGAAAATATTGTTGCCGTGACAAAGAATTTTTAACCTTTTAGTGCACTGTGCAGTAACGGCAAAAAAAAAAAACAAGAAATACCATTAAAAAAGATTTTGCCAAGCCCCTGCCACAACCACTTGAGATGGGAAATTTTTGTGCAGCTTGTTGAAAGTATTTATGGCATTGCAACTTTTCGGTAAAGCACAACCACCACCATTACTACCAACCACCATACATTGTTCGACATGACTTTGCTTAGTTTTCGGCCAAATAGTTTTGATGCCGGCAAATGTGGGTCAACTATAGAAGGGAATTTAGTTTAATTAACCAATAAATTCCGTTCTCTAAGGGCGAGTTAAAACGATACCGTTTATGTTCGGGGAAGTGGCAATTAAAGCTCTAAAGTGGAAGCTTCTCAATTATATTCATAAAAGGGTTTATCCTTCAATAGGCCTCGCTCAGGTGCATCTGGCAGCATCCCCCCAACGTTTATGCAACATGCCCTTTGAAGGACCTCAACTGCGGCCTGCCACGCGTTAGCCACGAACAAGGACTAAGGACTTCTCGAGTGGGGGCGAGGGATGGATGCGATGAAAAGAAAAGAAAGAAAATAACCTTAGGCGCAGACGCTTTCAAGTGGCATAGACCGGTCTGAGATGGCTGTTGTTGCCTCACTTGAGGCTGTCGTAAATGTCACAACTGGCAAACAACAATGACATCAACTAGGGGCAGCAGCCCAACGAACGAACGAACAACAGACAGGCCCGCAAAATATATATCCCACCCGTGAGTGGTTTTATGTGTCAAAGTGACAATATGTTGCCGGCGTGCATTATGTTGCTGCTGTTGCTGTTGCTTCTGCCAAACGATGCGATATGCGGCAACTGTTGCTTGCAATGGCTGTTCAGATAATTTAAATGGCACTCACCTTTAGCAGATAAATTCAAATATATCAGTAAAAATATCCATGAGTGTTTATTAAGTCCGTTGATTATTTGCGTGCCGCTGCTGCTGCTGTTGCTGTTGCTGCTTTGTTGGCTGGGATTGCTGCCGTGAATGCCGCTTCCGCTCCTCAGCTGCGCCGCAAAGCTGCCTAAGTAGGAAATGAAGGCGGTGGTGCTGATCGCAATCGCTCTGAGCAGCCGAGCCGCCGGCTGTTGCACGTGAAGGTGCCACTGTTGCAGCGACACCAGCAACATCTGCAACAGCCACGCGAATGTTGCCGATGAAAGTTCAGGATTCGATCTTCGAGTGCTGATTTCCTTTGTCGCTGGTGCGACATTGCATGTAGGTGGCCGTTGGATGCAGATTGCTGTTGCTGTTGCTGTTGCTGTTGCTGTTGCTTGTGCTGTTGCTGTTGCTATTGCTAGTGGTTGCTGCTACTAATGTTGCTGTTGTTGCTGATGCTAATGCAAATGCCTCTGATTCGCATGGGGTTGCTGGTTTTCTTTTTTCGTCGGCGACGCAATCTTTGTCGCTTGCGTGCACACAGTCTTATGTTTGTTGGTTGTTGGGTTGTTGCTTGATTGCAGGCAGCAATTGCTGCCGCTGCTGTCTTCGGCGACAACATGTTGCTGCTGCTGTCTAGCTGGTCATTGCTGCTCACGTGGGTGGCTACATCTTCCCCTCTTTGCGATGGCTTCTGTTCTTGGCTATTGTGCTGTTTGCTTGCAATGTTGCTGTGGTGTTTTGTACTTAAGCTCCTTGGTTGCAGTTGGGTAAGTTGCTGGTGTTGCCGCTGGTTGTTGTTGCTGTTGCTCGGGTTGCTGTTGCTGTTGCTGTTGCTGTTACTGCTGCTGCTGCTGCTGCTGCAGTGCGCTAATCTTACTGCCAGCCACAGCTCATCATCGTCAACTTCAGTCAGTTTCAGTTGTGCATTTTTCATAGTCTCTTTCGGTGTTGGTTGTTGCCAGCGGATATGTTGTCTGCTCTCTACTAGATTACAATGATTTAATTTTCGGATTTTTCGGCCTTATCCAGCTGCTGCAGCTTACATTGTCCCTTCCTGTGGGAAAGGGGCTGAGTTCCCTTTTGTGTGTGGGCTGGCCTTAATACCTACTAATCTTATGAAATTTTCACCGCCTTTTAACGTTCTCCTTTTATATCAATATGGCAAGTATATGTTTTATTGTTTGCAACATTATTATGTCTTTCTTTTGTCTTCTTATTTTCTTTACAACCCGAAGAGCGTGTTTCTATTCTTCTTTTTATGCGTTCTCTTACAATAAAAGTTTATTCCCCAACTTCCTTTCTCGTTTTTTGCGCTTCTTTCTTCTAGAAAGAAAGGTAGTCCTTACGATATCCTACCATCTTACAAGTTCTTAATTTGTTGTTGATGTTCCGTTTTTGCCTTTTTCTCTCATTTGTTCGTGGTCTCCGATTTAGTATAGGCTTTTTTCTATTCTGTAGTTGCTATATTATCCTATATTTTAGTACTTTTGCTATAAATGTTGAGCTATTCAATTGTTAGTTCTCCTAATGCAATCCGTTGCAGTTGTATATGGCAGTGCTTTGTAGCATTTGGTTTCTATTGATTTACTTGACCTCTTCCTTATTTGTGTATTCAAAAGTGGCGGCTGTAATGGGAAAGACAAAGTTGCACATTAGTTGAGATCAAAAATATGTATCCTATTAATTTGTATAAACTAATCTGTGTGGTTGTGTATTTGAGCTTGTTGTTTTAGAGACTTGTGGTTTATGTACATTTAATTGTTTCTTACTTGTAAGGTAAATATGAGCTGCACATTTCAATTAATTGAGTACGTTGGTCTTTAATCTTTAAACCAGCAGATGTGTGGGATTCGATTGCAATTGCAATCGAAGGGAAATCCCAAGCCAATCTCCATTAGTCCCGCAATCTCAATCTGCATTATCGTTCCTTTTTCGACTGTTGGCATTAGGAATTTGCCCAGCGGCATCTGCCATTTCAATTTGTCTGTATCGAATTTGGATGGGACCCCAAACCCTTGACCTACCCACTAACCCGAGGCAACAGCCTACACGAATTTGCAGTTGACCACAAAGGAAATAGGACTTGCACGAATTGCAGTTGAAAGCGAATAGCTCTCCGAGCAATTGTCCGACTTAGAGTTTCAATTACTCAAACTAATTAGTTTTGCTAAAACAATAAACCCCAAACATTTTGCATGCTAATCACTCCGAGGAATTTGCGCAGCTGCCGGCCATTTTAAGGATATGACTGAAGATCCAGGAATGGCCGAAAGGCCTACTTGATGCCAAGTACTGCACTGATTCCATTCCCGCAGGACTCCTGGCCAACTCTCACTGGCCATCTCAATAAATAATGCGTATGCAAAACGATAAACACACAAGGGCCCGAGTATCCTGGCAAATGGCCGAGCAGGAATCGAGGCAGCTGCAGGATGCAAAATGCAAATGCCACAACGTAAAGGCGGGCAGCAGGACTTACCATGCCATCCTGACGTTGACGGACATGTGCGGGACATTTATGGCATGTCCTGTTAAGCAGAACTCCAGCATTTCTAACCGGGATTCACTGGGCACTGAAAACTGGGAACTGAGAACTGAGAATGGACCGTGGAGCTTATGCATATTTATGCCACAAGTTGTACAGCTTGCATTCGAAAGTTTTTGAATAAGAAAAAGACAATCAAAACGGGTCCACGCAATTACTTTGGCCAGACCTCGGGCATAAGCCGAGTGGTTGGAACCCGTTTAGAGAGAAGCCCGAATGTCAATTGAATTCTTTTTTCCTTTCAAATGCCGACCATTTTTGGCAGCTATCAAAAATGTCCCCATCTGCCGGAGGGGAAACAATAAATGCACAGAATAGAAATGTCAACAAACAGACTCGTTTCTGTCCCCCTTCGAAAATTTCATTCCCCTGGCTGGTTTGCTCTTCTGTCAAAGTTCAGTTTTGCAACTGTCAGTGGAATTTGAATGGCAAGAAATGAAAATAGTTTTTAGTCTAGCACAAAGTGGGTGGGTTTTTTCCTCTCTGACATCTAATAGGAAATATTGTTTTGCATCTGAAATGCTCTGTGACACACACATCACCGCACTGTTTCACTCTGATTGCCAGCTCAAAATATTTGTTGAAAAACACTTTCTTGAAAAACAAAGTTATATCGTATTGCTCGGAAGTCACTTAGTTTGAGTGCATTTTGGGTAAGTGTGTTTTGCAAAATACACTTAATATACAGGCAAGTTAAATAGGTTTTAGAGGGTTTTCTTTTCTTCCCTTAAACAGGAAACTAGAAATTCACCTAATTTGGAGCTAAAATAGGCAACACAACAGGCAAGTAATAACAAACCATTTGCGAAAAAATACTTTTCTGCAGCCGAAAAAAATCTGTTCGCGAAAATATCCCGCTGTGAGCACTCAAAAGAGCGTTTAAACTGCAATTGAACCTGTCCGCGAGGAAACGACCAAGTCCAAATGGTGTGCATAAAGCGATGAATCGTGAGATGGTGAAGGGGAAAGGGGAAAGGGAAGCGGGGGGCCAGCTGCTTGTGGCGGAGCGGAGTTGCAACAGTTGGCGGTGGCATTTTATGGGTCACTTGGCTTTGGGGCCGTCACAACAACGGCGATGTGCCACTCAAATATTTAGTTGTGCGATCGCAGGTGCAGGGCGCCGAAAAGCAGGCAGCGTTTTTTTTATATATTTCTTGGCTGCCTGCCCAGTGGCAAATATTGCGCATTCGGCCCGTGGACACAAGCCGAAAAAGGTATCGCTTTTATTGCAATCGCTGTGAAATATATTCGAGGAGCTTGCGGCCGTCTAATCAGCTGAAGTGGCAGACCGCAGAAATTTTCTGCCATTTACTCGCATTTGCCCACTTCGCCCAACCGTATTGATGTATGAAATTTTGCGAAAATTTATGCGATGGTCGTCGCATAAAATGAACGACCAGCTCAGACACGAGTTCTGGCCAAAATGGGTGGGGGGAACTGGAACGATGGAGGGATGGGGGCAAAATGGCAACTGTTGGCGTCGCATTGCAGATGAAACCATTTTTTCGGACTCCAGAGACTTTTCCGTTTGGCGCGTGAGCAAATTAATTTTCAGCGAGCAGAGCAAAAAAATGGTTTTTGCATGATGAACGGGGAGCGGGGCCAACTCGGCTAGAGATGGAAATGGGCAAACTGCATGATGTAAATGATAGCCAACCCTTGGTGTGGTCGCCATTCGCCAGTCGCCAGTTCAGTCGCCACCTTCCCCCTCAAAACAGCCGGCTCAATGAATTATGAATTCGCTTGGCAAAAAGTGGAAATTGTTATTCTTTTTTTTTTTTTTTTTTTTTTTTGGTATTTTACCCCAGCCTGACTCTTTCTCTGGCCGGTTTTTATTTTGCGGCTTGGAAAAGAATTATGTGCTGAATGTTCTTAGCCATGCTGCGACCAGACTTTTACTTGGCGGCTTTATTTCTTGTTGTTCTAGAGTCGGCGAGAACTGTCGACAGTTTCGCAATGTTGGAAAATTAATATTTGTACAAGTGGATTTTCAGTTATATTTTTCTGTTTTCCTTTTTTTTTCGGCTTCCAGCAAACCGCGAAAAGTTGATGACAAACTGCGAAAACTTTCGAAGGGATATGAAGAAAGTGTGCTTAAATTGTTACTTTTGCATGTGACAGGAATTTAGTGTCCTTTTAAGTGCTATTTTTATTTATAAGGGAAAATTAATGGGCAATGGGGTGTTACGTATAGAATAATGACTTAATTGCTAGAAATAAGCTTTATGACATTACATTGCATACTGCTTTGCACAATTTCAAACTATCAATAAATGTAGTTTCTAAAAATGTATTTCAGCTGCCTTTTAAAGTATCCCATAAATAAAATTAAGTGCGGAAATCAACAGAATTTTCAAGCCCATAATGTAGAAACAATTTACACAAAACCATTGAAAGCCCGCACATCGCCTTTTGCGGACAGGAGGGTGTGTATTTATTATTTATGCGACTGCTACGGATGATTTATGTTCGGTTATATTTGTCGACAGGCGACACATTGAAAGAGGCAGAGAGACAACACCACTTTACATGTGTTTGGCTAAAAGTGTTTGCCGTTTTTAATGCAAATATGGAAACAACAATGGCAGCAAAAGCGCGGGCAGGGCAAGAACTGGAATGATCAGCCGAAGGCAGGACCGAACATGGCCAACAAACAGGGCCCAGACAAGCAGCATATCGACAACAACAACAAAAACAACAACCAGAAATATTCACGAGCTTGTCGGGAGATACGAATGGGAACATATATACTCGTACTCGCAGTGTGGAATGCAAACGAGTTCAAACTGTAAGGACCACGCCCACTTCGGTCCCGTCCGCCTCAAATGTAAAATATTTCTCTGCCTGCCGTTCAAAAAATAATTTATTTGCACTTACACTGCGAACCGGAGCCGAGATGCTGGCCATGCCATCATCATCATTATCACCATCAACTGCATTGTCATTGACCGAAGTCAAAGTTCAATAGACTTAAGCAAGAATCGAACTAGGAGCAGAAGTTGGCAATGAGGCTGGAAATGCAATTCATCACTCTAAGTTTTCCTGCCCTGAAAGGAAATTGAATTGGAATGGTAGACGTAAACGGGTGGCAAAAAAGCACGAAAGAATGAAATATAACCGGTGAAAAACGCAAACTGGAATTGTGTATAACCGATAACTTCGAGAATTTAAATCCGATTTCAAAGTGGCATACCTCAATTTTTTTAGGGCTTGTGGTCTCCTTTATAAACAAACTGCATTTAAAATATTTCATTTCTTTGATGCCGAATTTTTAACCCCTGTTCATGTCAGATTTTTCTGAGTTTTACGGTGATCTGCTAAATGGAGACCAAAAATTCAAGTTCCTGAGTCCATAACTTTGATATTTTTAATCCGACTCCAAAGTGGCATACCTCTCAACGTTTGTAATCGCATCCTTGATACAACTGCATTCAAAGTTTTTAATTTTTTAATGGTCGAAATTTTGACCAATGCTTATGTCAAATTTTCCAAGTTTATAATGGTTTTCAGCCTAGTGACCCAAAACTGGACTTTTAGAACCCATAACTTTGTCAATTTTAATCTGATTCCAAAGTGGCATACCTCTCAACATTTTTTATTGCATTTATAAACAAACTTACATATAAACAAAATTTCATTTCTTGAGGTTGATTTTTTGATCCCTGCTCATGTTAGATTTTTCTGATTCGGATGGAGACTCAAAACTGTACTTCCACAGCTGTGTCAACTTTGCTCCGATTAAATGTGGGGCGCTTAAGATAGCGATAGACTGAATTTTGTACTCTCTTCTTAAGGAAAAAATTCCATAACAAAATTCTATAAGCTCAAAGGACAACCACCCGTCCACCAAACCATATGCTTCCGACTCATTGAGCAAAACTTTTCAAACAAAACCTAAGGAAGGCATAAACTATGCGATTTCAGCGTCTGCTTATGACCAAAAAATATGGCCAATTTAATGGGCCAGACCATATGAAGCTTATGAACACGCACCCGACCCCAAAGACAACGTGCCCCTTTTTTCCTGACACATTACCGCTGGAATGAGATGGAGGTCCGAACCCTTTCAACGCATCTCGG